CCCCCCCCCCCAAGCACAGCTCAGCACAGCCCTTCCCTGCCCACATCAGTGAGTTTCACCTCACTGATATGGGCACGTAGCTCTACTTATTGTTAGGAACACCAGCTGCTCAGCTGAAAGTAAAATCACAGCAAACACCAACTGTACCATGTCAATGCAGTGAGCTGTTAGGGTCCTGTTGAGAAGCCACCTATGTTGGCAGTCTCTGGTTTAAAGAGGCTTGTAGAAGACAGGATAGATTTGCACCTTCAGAGGTAGACAAAATGATAGATCCAGCTGGTGACCAGACTCCATTTCCCAGCAGCCCCTTCCTGCGTCACTGCAGCCAGTTCCTATTTCTTTGCTAGGCCATTTTTAAATATCAGAATCCCAAACCAAGAGCATACAGATGATTCAATGTGCAGATGACATTGAATGTACATCTACGTTGTACCCCCCTCAGTCAAAAAATATTATGCTATAGCAGAATTGTGATGTTGTCCTCAGGAACCCAAACTTACTCCTTGCAGAAGAAAATTCCATGCTGTGCTTTGGCCAGAGGAAGGTGGCTGTAGTTCATAAATATTGGGAAAACCTCACACATCAGCATAAAAGTTCCAAAGCAATGTGTGATGGGTCCTAGCAGAGAATATGATTGCACAGGCAAATCACTTATGAGTGTGAAAGGAGCCTAAGGATTTTTTCTATTACAGAGATGATAATCCTGTTTTATTGAGTGACTGGAAAGAATGGCAGAATCCTATGTAAAAGTCTTCATGTATTTAACACTGCTGACAAGAAGGTGGATCAGCTAAAATATGCTCCCCCAAATCAAAGCAATTTCAAGATAAACTTATTATATTGACCAATGATTAGACCCTCTTTATACAACATCCAACCAATCAAAGTTTTAAATGCAGTGGCTGATGGAATGATAGAAAGGAGGAGGGTAAAGAAACAAATGACCTTTGCTTAACATATTTAAGAATTGATATCTGAAAAGGGAACATTAGAGAAAATATTGACCAAACTAGGAGTGTACCTCAGTAAAGATGTATTTGGGTTTTGATTGCAGTATTGCAACAAAGTGACTCCCAGTCAAGCCTTCCAGCGGTTCAAAGGTCATGTAAATATACAGACTTGGTGATCAAGAAGTCCAGGAAGTTTTTTGTTCCTATTTTTTTTAGTAAAGTTGTGAAAATTAGAATTTTAATCTGTAACACAACTGAAAGAACATAACTTCTCTGAAACTTCATTATGCATCTCTGATATAGTTAGTCCATAAGATGTGTCTCTGCCCTGCCTCCTGCCTGACTTCAGCTAACAAGGCGAATCTCTTTCTAATCTTATTAACTGTACATGTAATGATACAAATTCTTGATTCCCT